TATGACTGTGCATATATATATATATACAACAGACGTACTCACATTTTTCATGTGAGTTTTTTAATTGAAATTTCAATTCTATAAATTCATATAGGATGCTAGATTTGCATCACTTATACGAATGACCCCGAATACCCCCCTAACTAATTCATATTTTTACCGACTGAATTGTTAAATCGTTAAATTATTATATTTGTGTTAACAATTTGTTTTTTTATTGATCTTCGATCACGTAGTTTAAAATTACTCTCGAATTACGCTTCGGTCATATACTCGAGATTTCGTAAACTGTGCCGCGAACGGTTTACATACCCGCCGGTGCACCGCCTAAGTGCATCGAGAGAGCTTGCGTGATAGTGAGATATATTCTGTCCGTCAGAGGCGTAATGACCAATCTGCCATTAAGACCCATGTATTCGTAACCGTATTCGAAAGCGCCCGTGCACTGGCTTACCCATATATTGTCCACATCGTGAACCCAGTAAAATCTAAGCGCACAAAGATAATTCGTAGAAAATATAACGAACATGATTTTATCGTATTTTATAATCCGAGTATTTCATTGATATTCGACGATGTACTTTATTTTTTTAATTTTTTTAACAATCACGAAAGATAAAAATATGTACAAGACATGATTGTAACGTAAACCTTAATTGACTTTCCCATTCAAATTCCGTGGGATCCTCAATGCTGTCCCTGACGAAAGCCTCGATGATGTCTCGAATGTGTACGTCGATAGTTAAAATCATGTCGATTTTCTTTCTGTCATTGCTTGTAAGCGCAGGACCGCCCATTAGCGTCACTACTTCGTCCAATTGAGTGTTCAATTGTTGTAAATACTATACATAAAAAAAAAAAAATACATATTTTACTTGAATAACGTTAAAAATAACACTGTTTGCGATTTATACGCCCGATACCTCTTTCATTGCGCGTTTATTCCCTCGAGATATTTTGTCGAAAACATTCTCGACTTCCGCGGTCCACCATATTTGATTGGCCGTGATAATCATCATTCCTTGAAACTCGAGAAGCCACCGCGTTCTCGGTCGTCGCACCTAGATTTAAAACAATTGGAAATGAACAGTTAAATAACAAAAAAACGATCGTAAATTTATTGAAAATTTAGAAGAGAAGGAAAAAATCCGCGCGATCAATCTAACAGCATCGACCTTGCCGTAATCGTAGACAGCTTTTTTCGTCAGATATCGATTCGATTTTTTCATTTCCTCGAGAGCGAGACCCATCCAGATCTCGACGTTGTCCTCGGTGGCTACCGGATTTCTGAATTCCATAACTTCTCTTTCGCAAGAAAAGAGAGCGGTCGCCAACAGGATATCCTTGTTATTACACGGTACAAGTTTAAACTTGTCGAGATTGTCGAACATCTTTCCTACGTGTTCCTGAATAACGGCAGGAGTGCTACTTCCAAGAATGCTCAACAGCTCGTCGTCGCTAATGAAGTTAAATCTCGGAAATACAAGACGTTTGTGTCGCAAATATTCCGCGAGCGACTTCTGGCATTTCTCAAGTGCCGCTATCATACTTTCAAATTCCTCCTTTCGACCTGCGACGACAGACAAAAAAACAACGAAATGTGTAAAAATTTATCCCGATCGCTCGGTTTTTGTCGTTTTCAATTTCATTTTTACATAATTCCAATGTGAATCAAATTTTCTTCCAAAATACCCCGAATCGTGCAACATTCGAGAACGTTGAGTCTCTTCGACGTGTCGATCATGATTCTCCTGTACATTTGGTCGACATTGTCGAATCTCTTCGTCTCGTCTTGCAACTGAAGGCGAATGTCGCCGCCCACAAAGATGCCCTCGAGATACAGCCACTTTCGCTGAAGATCTACCCACACCTCCAGAACCTCGGAGATAGTGCGCATCGTGTGCTCCCACTTCTGAACAACGCTGAGGAACGGTCCGACAAATTGCGAAGCGGCCATGCTGTGCACGGTCAGCATGTTGTCTTCGAGCGTCGCGTTTAAATCGTCGAGAGGTCCGAGCATGTAGCCGCGGTCTTCCGAACCTGATCAATTATAATTAAGACGTTAGAATTTTAAATATTTTTGTAAAATAACGAAAAATGTCTCGCATTGACGAATCGTTGATTGTGTTCAGAAAAAAAAACTTCAGACTGAATATATTTGATAATTAAATAAATGTAAAACACCTTTGTAATGTTTCACCACGATGAAATTCATCGATTTCCACACTTCCGCCAATTCCTTTATGCCTTTTTCTATCGCAAGCTCTTTCACGGCGGTCGTGACGATATCCCGCGCGATATCTTCGTATTTTCCTAGCTCCATAGCGAACATATTTTCCAATGTAAATCTGGAACAGATTCAATGGTTTCTTTGTACTTTACATATTTTCACAGTGAGAGAATAGTGATTTTTGAAAAAGCTTACCCTTCTATCGCAAAAGATTTTTTTTGCGCCATTTTTTTTGGTATTTTGATATTATTAAAATGTCTCTCTGTGTGTGTTATTAACTACACTAGTTTTTTTTACAAAAAAATGTCAGATTTTAAATACGCATTTAAGTGAGTTTGCACTGTCTGTCAATAATAATCACCGTCACCATGTCACGATCTAAAATCATAGAGAGAGAGAGAGAGAGAGAAAGACGCGTGTATAGTTTCAAAGAAAAGTAGAAAATAATACATATATGTAGTATTACTTTATATTAAAAAAAAAACGATACACATGGTTTCTCTCTGCAATGATGTGCGATTGCGAAATATAATTTTTTTTTTTTAATAATAATCATTATTTCGCGCGCACACTTTGTAAATATAGTAAAAAAGTTGCACAAATACAATCTCTTATATAAAATAAATACATATCAAATAAATATTCAAATAAAAAATACACAAAAATTTAAAATTGTTTCATTTGCACGTAGTAGCGTCGTAATATTCATTTCCGTGGATGATTATTTGTTTTTTAATTAAAATCGCAGGTTCGTTGAGTTATCGGTTTGTCTGTGTGCCGTCCGTAATCAACACTCGTTTTTTAACTGTCAGAATCATCCTGAGCACACCTGTCCGGATCCATATCGAAATGTTGTCCGGTTCTTTTCATCAACTGTTCCCAGTGTCTGTCACGCATAGCCTCGTGCTTCAGTTGAACGAATAGTGGCACTGAATTCTTGAAGTTTCTCATATCGGCGTCCAACGCATGGCCCACGTTCATAGTCTTGATGTGTTTGGGCAATCGTCTGAATTCCTTCATAAATTGCTCCATACCGTCGATGAGCTGTTGAGGATTCAAATTCATCCACAGAGTCTTCGCCCAATCGTCCCGCGCTTTTTTCTGCTGCTTGTAAAGATCGTACAACTTCTCCATGTTCTCGTACTCCGTCTTGATCCTCAGAAAGACCGAAAAATCCGCAGGCGCCAGATTGAACAGAATTTCCGACTTCATCAGCCTCAAGCGTTTCTCGTCGTACGTGTTGATCAGTTTGCCGTATTCCTGTAAATGTGGTATTTTTATCGGCTTTATTTGGACGCGCGACAAGGAAGTACGATAAATAACATTTTGAAAACAAAAAAATTAGAAAAAGAGAATTGCGACGAAACTCTTTGTAGAAGAATTGTGCGAAACGTGTATTATCTTCTTCGCGTACTTTCATTTTCTTCAGTCCGAGATCCAAATCGGTTCCGATGCTTCCGGGACCGTGCGCCTCGAAATCCTCGGCGAAACTGTCGATCTCGGCTAGGAAATTTCGAATCTCGTCTTCGGTCAGTTCGCTAAATCTGTCGAATGTGCTTTCCAGAGTCGAGGATCGATAAAGCGAACCGAGGTACAACGACTCCCAATCGTATTGCAATTGGCGCGCCATCGCCTCGTCCTCCAACGGAAATTCGATTTCGTAAGTGCGCAGAGTTCGAAAACATTCCTGATAGGTCACGTAGTCGACTTCAGCTTGGCTCGCCATCTTTCTCACGTCCGCGATCGCTTCTATGATCGACGTGAAACGATCCAATCCGGTGACCACCAACTCGATCGCGCTGCGAAAAGTCTCGATTTGAGTTTTCATTTGCTTCATAGATTGTACGGTGTCAGCCAGAAGATAATTTCCGAACACCTGTTTCCATTCCCGCACTTGAGTCTTGATGCCTGATAAAAGTGGGGTCAGGTTGAGCCTTCAGAGAAAGAGAAAGATTAACAAATCAGAACATCTCAACAATTTTTTTAGAAGATAGAAAGTTTTAAAAAGCCAAATCTTTGTTACGTTATTAACCGAACAATCTCAATAAGCTGTAAACGCGCGTAAAATAATAAACTTATGCGCGTGTCGAAAATTGAATCTATTGAAAACAAATGGCGACTTTCAATTTTCGTTCCTTGTACAACAAATACAATTGTGCAAATGTAAAATTGTTGATTCCGCTTTACCGTACGCTACTTATGTCGAAATAAGGCGTCATATCTTCGACTTCCTCCCGGATGTTCTCGTAAAATCCTAACTTCTCGTCGTATTGATAAACCAAAGGTTTCGTCGCTGCGAATTTCTCGCAAATCAGATTTTTGTCGTGCGACCACAAATTGCTGTATTTCTTCCACTTTTGCGCGTAACGCGAGCATTCAATCGAGATTCGCTGCGCCGTTTCTTGAATCGTTTTTACGAGATCGTTAATTATCTGCAATATATATATATATATATCAATTTGGAATACTTTTGTGAAAGTGAATAAAAAGCAAAATGTTTAATTACAAAAAAAAGTTTCACAATGTAAAAGTAGAGCACAGCACGTTCGCGTAGAGTTCGTAAAGAAGTTGACTCAACTCGAATACTCATCACGTCCTCGAAGAAGCTAAACGTGACGATTTCCTGCGAAGAGTTTTTTTCCGGCTGACACTCCAAGCAAGTCCCATTCATCCATCTGAAGAATCCTTTCAGCCTTTCCAACAGATCTCGCACGTCCTGACAAATGATGCTGTACATTTCGTTCGGCGAGGGACGCAGCACCACTTCGGACGCCACCAGAACCGCGTCCGCTTGAAAGATCGGTTTGGTGTCGTTCAACAATTTGTTCATAAATTTCATGTTTCTCACCATGCACCTAAAATCGAACGATACCTACGTGAAACGAACAATTACAACGTATTTACTTCATCGATATATTGTACATTATAAAGGCTTCAAAAATTTTCTTCTCGTATTTCTTATAGAGAAGTTGCATATTCGGATTTTTTCCCGTTGAAGTTCCGAATACCAAACCCTCCAGTTTCACGAGCAGTGGACCGATCGATTGGTAAGTCTTCGACATCGACAGTATTAGTTCGGATCTTCGACTTTTCACTTCTAGAAAATAAGTCTACGAAAAAAAAAAAAAAAA